CCAGCCGAAGCCATTCTTCCACATCGACTTTGGCCGGGCAAGGCCTCTCGCGCAGGAGCCGTCGCAGTTCCTGCCTGTCCGAGAAGCTCAGCAGCTTGACACGTCGGGCAGGGCAAGGCGTCCGTTGTTGTTCCAACTCGCCGTGGAACTGCTGGACCAAGTAATCCACGTTTCCGGATTCGTCGCCGCTGCTGCTGATGTCGAGATTGTCCCATTTGGAGTAATCCAGAGGAGGGATGGCCGCTGCACTTCCTGGCTATATCTCAATTGATTGAGGCTACTTGGCTGCTTGCATACACGTCCGGATTGCAGCAGCTCAAATGCATTGCTCTGAGCTTCCCTCCAATACAGCAGGCCTCTGACACCGCCCTGTGACCTAGTTTACTGTCATTTGCACTACACTTTACATAAGGAAGTTAGAGCATCTTCCGATTCTTCTTTTTTTCGGCGCCATTTCTGCTGTACACTGTACAAGGTAAAGCCTTTCGACTTCTTCTGGAAGGGAAGTTCATTAGTTCAGTCCGAATCCGCGACGAGAAACGGACCGGCATTAGCTGCCTCCCGCGCGAAAGAATTCGGAGACGGGGATTCGGATACTTCCCACACAGGCTCCTCCTCTTGTTCTTCACTTTCAGAGGATCCAGGCCACGAAACATCTAGTTCGTGGCATACAACGAAGAAATACAGTGATTCGACTTGCATTTCCACAACGAAAATAGTCGCTAGCTCACCGCCAAAGCGTGCCGGCACCATCCAGTTGAAGGGATCGCGCAGCACGTGCGGCAGTGCGTCGGCGAAGAGGTGCATGGCGACGTTATGTCGACGAAGGAAGTCTAAGCTCTCGCCGATGTCCTCGAGAAACGGCCGATTGAGCAGATGGAGGAGGTCCAGTAAGTTCACTCCGGCACGGCGCGCATCCGCCTCCAAATCAGCCGGTGTGATGGTCGACACGTTCCAGTCCGTCTCCAGCCACTGGAAGACTGATCGCTGCAAGGCATTCACATAGACATCGACCGGTTGCACGTCTGGCATCCGCGGGCAGAACATCCCACGCTGCAGCAAAGCGCCCAGCGCTGCGGAGACGCGGGCCTGTGTCGCTGCGAAGTCAGCGCAGCAGCGAGCCACGCCTTCCGGCGGCTGCGAGCTCGTCAGCCGTATTCGAACACATTCGCCCGGCAGCAACCACTCCACCAGAAACTCTCCCACCGCCTCCAATCGAAATCTGCGACCGGCCATGCTTTCGGACAGACGGCACGAGGACTCTGTATGCTGTTGCTACGATTGTGGGCTTGACTGACAGTGACGTTCAGCATCCAGCCTTGGAGCGATTTCCACGTGCCCTCCAACTTTATTACATGCTGTGTACAACGACGGCTATGTCGGCTACGTGCTTCCGGCCAGCGTTCTCTTTCTTGCTTTCTCTCACAAGGCTGCTAATAGACTGTGCTCATGCCGGCCAACTGTACACTGTACTCATCATACTTATTACTGTCCTATGGCTGCCCAGGGCCAAACCACGCTGTGCCTTCACATGCTGCACTGGTGGTGCAACACATTTCGTTTCTTGTCTCAACACAAGGTTGCAAGAAATCTAAAGATTGTGCTCGGGCCGCCAACTGTACACTGTACACAGCGCTGCAATGCTGCTTGAAGCAGCACGCCTAGCCTATCAAGGCTGGCAGACTCGAGCGTGCGAACTAGTCAGCGTCGCTCGACCAGCCATCTGGCCCCGTTTCACCTTGTTCTTGCTGTAAATGCCAGGTGTCCACGGTGATGACAATCGGCTCGGTCGCACGCATGCAGACATGTCCGCCGATGCAGTAACTGCAGACGAAAAACCGGCAGGCACGACATTGCGAGCGATGCGCGCAGCAAACGCTCCGCCCGCAGTCGTGACACAAACTGGCAGCAAGTGCAGGTAAGCTACAGAGATCGCATCGGAAACTGTCAGGCGAGCCGACCAGCTGAAGCGTGACGAGGGCTTCCGGACGCAGCACTTGACAGCGAGCTCCTCCGAGAAGTTCGACTCCGCTGACGCTGAGGGTGACTTGATGCGGAGGTACTCCGAGTTGGAAGGCTGCTGTGCGACGCACCGATTCCACCGTCCAGCCGGGGCGGACGTACATCTTCATACCAATCAAGCCCCACTGGAGATGAACTCGGTATGCGTCGGCTGCGTGGGGTTGCACGAAGAGCTGGATGTCGTCGGGCAGATCATAAGCCGCGAAGCTTCGCTCCGGTCTCAACAGCGCCAGCCCATTCCAGTAGATGCCGACGTCCTCGGGCCCGAGACAAAGGGCTCTGTCCACCAACACCCACAGCAACTCGATTGTCATCTTGCCGGGAACAGATGCCATATGATACCTGCAGGTGCCGGGAATGTTCAAGCACAGCTGGATATGTCGGAGAGACGTCCATGGCGCGAAGTCCGGTAGGTGGCTCATGGGGATCACTTCGCGATGGTATCCGTGTTCGACGGTCCAGTCGGCTTCCTCAGCAGCACTGTGGAAGCGTGGACAGTCCGCGAACCAGCGAGACGGCGCGGCGCGGCGGTGCTCCCAGGGCATCATGGTCATGGACGATCTCACCTGTGCTTTTTGACTATACTGCCCTGCGCTCGCCAAGAATTGCTTCGGATAGTATACACATAGCAAGCCTGGCATGCGCGATAACCGACCTGCAATCTTTCAGTTATACCTACAACTTGCAACAATCCACGCAGTTCGTTCGAGTTGCTCACTCCTTTTGTCACTCGCCGTGCGCAGGGGCCGCCTGTTTGCGGGCCACGTCTTGCTCGACGATTCCACACTCGAATGATCGATGCTGACGTCCGCTGCATCTGTACAAGCGGCCATCACACGGTGCAGTTGCATGCCTTCAAAACTATGGCTGCGAGCCTCTCAGCCTTGCAGAGGTGCACGTTTCTCAGCGACCAGCCGATGCCTGCGAACTTGCTCCGGCGTCCTGCTGCGAGGCGTAGAACCTCATGACCTCCTTTGTGGTGGCGAGCAATTTCTGAATGAAGTCCCGAGCCTCGACGTTACCTAGACTTTCTCCTGCGAGACTCAAGTTCGCGATTGAAGGAGGACGGATCTTTGGCGGGATCAGTGCAAGGGCGGTCTGTAGGGGAGCAACCTCGAAGGTCCCTCCAGCCTCCGTGCCGATCTGACCCAGCACACCCTCCAGGGCCGACTCACTGAGTTGCACATCGCTCAGTCGCCATTCGGTAAAGGCAGCAGTGCGCGCCTCCTCCGCACGCTCTGCAGCTTCTAACTTTGCGATTTCTCTCCTTGCATCCTCGCTGTCAGACCTCGCTTCCTTCTTCTTCTTCTTCAGCTTTGTGTCTCCGGCAAGCATGTCGGGGGCGCCGTCCACGATCTCGTCGCTGCCAGGCTTTCGCTTCTTCTTGCCGCCCTTCTTTTCCTCATCTGGCTCGGAGGAATCTTCCGACTTGATCTCGGCCTCCTTGCCTTTCTTCAATTTTTTGGGCGCCTTCTTTGCTGCATCTGTCTCATCTGCGTCAGATCCATGGTTCTTCCTCTCTTTCCTTGTCTTCTTGGGCTTCTCGGCTGTCTCGCTAGCTTCGGATGCAGCGTTCTCCTTGTCCTTCTTTCTCTTTATTGGCTTCTCGGCAGATTTGTCATTGTCCGAGTCGGACCCGCGTGCCACCTTTCTCTTCATCTTGCTCTTTTCGGCCTTTCTCCTCTTCTTCGGCTCGTCGGAGCTGTTGGAGCCGGAGCTAGAATCCCTGGCGGATGGCTTTTTCCTGTGCCTCAACGGCTTGCGATCCGATTCTGCGCTGGAGTCATCACCCCGGAACTCCGCACCGGTCTTCTTCCAGGCTGCTTCCTGCTTGCGTCGCGCCTTGTAGGCACCAACCAGGAACTCGGCGGCCTGCTCGGCATCGGGTTTCTTGTGGGCCCGGAATTCGTCGAGAGAGGCTTGTAGATGTTCTTCATCCGGAATCTGTTGCGCCCATGCTTTCAACGCATCAGCTTTAACCAAGGCATCCAAGGCGTGCAGAGCGCCGACGTACTCCTGCGCGGCGGTCACGGCGATCTGTGGCAGACCTTCATAGAGCTCCCGCTTGTGGTCCTTCAGGAAGCGCAGTATGGTTTCGAAGCTGCCTTTCCTGGCACTCGGTTCGAACTTGGAAGCTTCGTAGTCCAACTCGCCCAATGCCTTGCAGAACTTCTTGCCCTTCTCGGCCGCTAGCAGAGTCTTGCACTTCTTTCTCGCCTCCACCGCGTCCGGCCTGTTCAGTGCCCTCGTCAGTGCCGCGATGGACTTGCCTGTCATGGACCAGCCATATGCCGGTCGTCGGGACAGCTCGGACACGTCCGGGGTGAGAACTTTGCGAAGCGACTCCTTCTGCAGCAGGGCGAGATCGTCGCCGTTCGAGTACAACACCTCTCCGGAGCCGTCTGCGTAGGGGCGCAGCAGCTTCTTCACGAGGCTCTCCCGTCCAAGCAGGCGCCGAGTCCAGGTGGGTTTTTCTTGTTCTTGCCCGCTGGCCCATGCGCCGCCGGTCCAGTCACTGCTGCGGTCAGCCCAGCCGGACTTACCGCCGCCGCCGCCTTTCCAACTGTCTCCTCCGTACCACGACTGTCCCTTCTTGCCCTTGCCGCTGCCCTTGCTGCCACGGCCGCCGTACATGGTGCCGCACGATCTGCGAAACCTAAGGGATGACTTTGCGAATTGTTTGGAACCTTGCCGAATGCTACGGTATTGGCGTGGATGCAGGCCGCTTCAAGTAGCATCCGTCAGACAGGTGCCGTCTTCACAACCGGACACGCCTGCAAACTCTTCCTGCTCATGTCTGCTGCCCGTTTGTTCAACAACACTATAATCTTTACATAGCACGTAACCTGGAAATGGAATGACTTGAGCGCGCCCATGCATCGCTCTTCTTTTTTTCCCGGGCCACTCCTAGCGAAAACTGTGCACTGTACATATATATATATATATGTAATCTAGAGACAGTGGATAGGACACGTGCATCACAAGCGGGCGCTCTTGTCCGAACGGCTCCCGTCACTTAGTTCAGCGGCGGGGCGTTTGAGCGGCTTCGGCTCCGAGCAGTGCTTCTCAGGCTCAACCACATTGTCGAGCTTGACCCAATTCACGACGCCTCTCTTGTGCTGGTAGGTGACCGGCTCTGCGTACCGCACGGGATCCTCCACCACCCAGGCATGCCAGCACCGCCACTGGAAAGCCTGGAAGTCGTCGACTCGGTGTCGCGGCCGATTCGCTGGCAACGGCGGGAAGCAATCTTCGTTCCCTGCGACCTCGACGAGCGAGCCGTCGGTGGCCTGCTCGGCAACCTTAATGCAGTCCACAATGCGCACCTCGCCGATGATCTGTCCTGCCACGGCGATTCCGACACGACCGCGTATGTGACAAGCCGTCCCACGCAGTTCCCAGGTCTTCTTGCCGTCAACGAGGTAGCCTGCCCACGGCTCCCGAACAATCAGAGCCCGCTGAAGGCGCTGCGACTCCATGGGGGGTGGCTCGTATCTGGGGAGCTTGCCGCCCGGATGCTTGAACTTGCGGGGAAATTCTCTGCAGTCGATTTCGGCTGTGCAGACTGTCGACAATCGCTTATGAGAGGCTTGGCATGCACGATAACCGACATGCAGTCTCAAACTTGCACCAAACCGCGCACTTCCACTGGTGTCGCTCACTACTTTTGCAGCTCGCTGCATGTAGGAGCCGCCTGTCTGCGGCCCGCCTCTTGCCGCGCACTGAGCGTCCGCTGTGTCTGTAAAAAAAGCGGCCTTCCAGCTGCGAGCCCTTCGCTCGTCATCTGCAGTGCGGCTTACGTGCACAGGGTTTCGGACGGCAGACCTTCGCACGTCACTACTGTGCTGCGCACCGGCTTCCGGTTTGCTTTGAGAGGATGCAACCAAAGGAGATCTTTTGTTAGGTCTAAGCAGAAGCCCAGAGGTCTCCCCTTCGGCACTTCCAACTCTTGCCGCTTCTGCCGTTCAAGGAGGTTGTCTTCCTTCTCGTCGGCGTACTCGGTCTCCAGCCACTCTGCCGACCTGGGCCCGTCGTACCGCAGACTAGCCAAGTTCCTGAAGTCTGTCCGTGTCTCTCTCTCAATGTCTCGATGCGCCTATCCGGTTTGTGAGTTCCGGGCTCCGCTGTTGGCATTAGACTGAAGCTGTCTGCCTCACCCTGGCAGTGGTGCCGCATGACCCGTCCAGATTCCATGTATCGGGGCGGGCCATGTCTCGTCCAGATCTGCCAGGGCAGTTGCTGCTCTATTTCGGACAAAGACTGCTGACCCTGTGCTCCCGCCTGCAAGTGGTACTCCATGGCAGCATCTTTGTGCCTTCGCCAAAGATTGAGGACCACCTCCTCAACAACGCCTTAGCTGTATGGGCTCTAAGTTCCTCTCGCCTCCCCTCCCTACCCTTCCCTGTAACTCCTGCCTCGCCCGCCACTGCAGCCGAGTCACCAGAGGTTCGGAGCACCAGCTTGCTGCGGGACACCGTTCCCGGTGAGGACGCGCTGTCGCTCAGACCATCCTGCAGACGCTGTGGCCTTTTCCGCTCTCCCTCTTGCTTCCTTGACACTTGTAATCACTGTAGTCCTGCAACAGGCGGAACAGATCCATTGCGGCAGGCAGCAGGATGCAGATGGGCGAAGAAATTCACGTGAGCCGAAATGTCTTACTGCGTCCATGGTAGCGTAGATGACATGGGAAAGCGTGCACGTGCGGCTGCCGAAAGACGGTAGTTCACACCTTCCTAAGACTTGCACCAAGCCGCGCAGTTCCATCGGTGTCGCTGCTCCATGGGGTGGTTCATAGCTGGAGCTGTGTACCGCCCTGATGCTTGAACTTGCGGACAAATTTTCTGCAGTCGATTTAGGCTGTGCAGCATGCTGACCGTTCGCTTGCTCTACAGCAACCCTCGACATCCGACGACGGACCGGGCTTTTTCCTTTCCCCTGAGGCTGTACTGTACACTGTACAAGTGTCGGGAGATGCTTTCTCATGGGCCGGCATTGCGGCCTCTAGGACCTCGGCGAGGCCTTGATGGATCACGCCGACGAAGGCTGCGCATCCTGCGTGCGCGAAAATCATTGGCTGCTGCCGTGCTCAGTACAGCTTCTATACGCTCCAAAGCAGCTTCCAAGATGTCCCCTTGCAGCTGGGTCAACATGTGCGTCAACAGCGCCGGCCGCCCTTCGTGTGTCTCTCGAAGCAGGTCGTCGTCGCAGAACGTGCAATGTCCGCGGCGCACCGGCTCTGCGGCGGCTCCGTTACCGCTGGAATGGAACCTGCGCGGGCAGGGTCGGCTTCTACTTCGCGAGACCTGCCACAGTGGGATATAGCCGCCCTATAAGAACGAATGCCGTGAAGCGCCTACAAGCAACGGCTCCCCGACCGCCGCAGTGGGCTCCGCTGGGTGCTGCGTTGGACATAGGTCGCCAGAGGTGCTGTCCTGGCCGGCGGAGAAACACTTCGCGTATTATCATTATAGGTTCATGCTATATAAGGCTCCTCGTCCAAGCGCATGTCGTTGCAGGGGAATGTGGCAGTGCGGCGGATCTAAGGACAAGTCGTTGACACACAGACACACAGAGAGCACACACACACACACAGAGACACACACACACACACACACGCACGCACAGATACACGGCCACAAAGGCCGCTGGGCCTGCCATCGGCCCCGGCACCTCTGCCGCGGCGGGTGGAGTCTCGACAGAATTCGGGGACGAAGACGACGACGCCGCCGATGAGGAATCCACGGTCTGCGCCACGTGGCCTGCAGAAATGCAGAACAAGGACTCACCACGCACATGTGTGCACCATGAAGCGCCTGAGGTAACTCCGGAATGTGACCATACCTCGAAATGCAACGACTGTTTATCTCGTGTATAGTGTGGATCTGTATAGGGCACTGTAGCGGGTCGCCGTCGTGGCGGCGTCCGCGAGCTCGACGATGTGTCGGAATCGTCCCCTGCCGTCAGCCCTCGCAGCCTGCAGACCATCGAATGCGGCTTTTTTTCCCCAGACATTCTCTTGAACACATTGGGCTGAGGCCGACACAGCAGCACACACATAATGATAACGCCATGGGCAGTCATACCTGTAGATGCGAGAGTCTACAGTCGAGCCGATGCTTACTGAGGACACATCCATTCATTCCTCTGCATGTCGCTCACTGCTCTCTTGTTGCATGTCAACAATTGCCTCCTCCTCCTCCTCTGAAGAGCATGCTTTATTTTTTTGGAAGATTCGCGGCAGGCTTTCTTCTGCAACCGGCGCTCACACAGCTGCCAGGACCTGAGGAAGCCGTGCAGCTGGAAGTGCTGGCGTGGCGAGAAGCGCCGGGGCCGCCGCTTGCAGCTCGGGGCGATGGTCCGGCAAGCGAACGGTCCACTTGGACCGAACGCTCTTCGCCCACTGCACGTCGAGCTCGCTTACCACTATCTCCTGACGGGCATGTAAATGGCGAGAGGCTACATGTGACTCGTATGCTGAGTGGCGAACGATATGCTGGACGACGTCCACTTCGGCGACCGCCAGGATGAGCCGCTCCTTCGCCCACTTGGTGAACCTGTGGGCCTGTTCGTCTGCGGACGTCTCCCGTGGGTGTTCGAACCAAGCCCGACCCGAGCCTTTTGCAGCAGCTCCGGCCGGGGCGATCGTCGCCGGCCGGTATTGCTGAGATCGGCATCCTGGACAAGAGCTGTGCGCCTCTCGCCTCGGCCCAGCTGCCTTCGACGACCCTCCTGCCTTGGCCAGCGTAAATGTCGCCACATCGGTGGCCCTTACGGCGGCCAGGACGCGCCGCTCACCTGGCTGGGCCTGTCGGACGTTACATGCTCAGCATGTCAGACGCCCGCCGGAAGCCGCGAACCACTGCCGAGCCTTGGCACAAGCGAACCAGAACGCCACCGTCAGGTCGCTTGTGTACGACAGCCACGGTGAATCCTGGGCCGTCGCTACATGATGATGCCTCTCGGCAGACTCTTGCAATTACTTTTTGGAGTTCGTCCCGCCCTTGCCTTCGGATTCCTGCCGATGTGCTCGGCAACCGTGGTGTCGGACTCTCCTGTACGAGCGAAGTGCATAGACTAGAACGCCTATATGCCTATACCAGTCTGACATCGGTCCTTTCGGGACGCGGCAATGCAGCAGTGTGTCTGCCGCGCGCCACAGGAGTCCTGATACTGCACGGGTTCAAGCGTCGTGCTACCAATTTTCTGAGCCCGCGACCCAGCTCCAGCTCTTCTTCGTAGCGAGCGTCGATGCGCCGGGTGCGCTCTTCAGTGGGATCGCCGCGGCGATACGCGAGAAACTCCTGTACATGCTACGCCAGGAAGCCAGGTGAAAGGCCGTGCTATATCTCAACGCTCGTGCCGCGAGCATGCCTGCACATCGGCGCAATGCGCCAGCGCCCCGAAGCGCCGTTCCAACTGAGCGCACATGATACGAGATCGACATATATCTATTACCACTATGCTAAACGCAGCGCATGCCGAGCTATCGGCGCGGGCCATAATGTACTCTGTCGGGTGCCCCTGGTTCGCCATCTCCAAAGCCTCCGGGATCACCTGACACGCAGCAATTCAATGCTACAAACCTATACCACAACCGACGTTTCAGGATGCTGGGACACCCGCAATCTGCACGTACGGCATATTGGCCTCGCGATGCATCTTCGTTTCAATTTGCACAGGTATAGCCCTGTACAGTACTGCTTGGCCGAGCTTCGCGCCAACAAGGAGGATGTTGAGATGGTCGAGGAAATGCGAGCGCGAGAACACTGACTCCAAATTACGAGTTCGAGCCAGGCGAGGCCTGATATCGCTGCCAGGACGCAACCTCGACACCACCCTGCTCTATCAAAGAGACGTCGCGCTGCGTTTCCTTTTTTTAGAGGAAACACCTCACCTGCGGTCAGTCGGCACTCACACAGCTGCCAACACCTGAAGAAGCAGAAGCTACAGGCTCTCCTGCATATGACAAACAAAGAACTGTCTGGATGCGTCCGAGGACGTCGCGTGCAGTTCGGGCCATGGCGCTTGGCCATGCGCGGTGCCCAAGCCATGTCCCTTCTCACCTCAGTGCGAGTGGGGCTGTCTCAGAACGAACGGACATGAATTCATCTTAAGTGAGCAGCCAACCGTTTATTTCGTCGGCCGAAACATCTGCGGTCGACTTCACGGTGCTCCTTAATCCAATACCTGCGTGCTGGCATCTCGCGCAGCTCGCCACGGTCTCTAGAGAGAGCAAGGGCCTGAGACGTTGCAGGAAGAGCGCTCGCAGCTCGGTGTCGCGGATCTGTTCGAGAGCCTCGCCGTTTATGTAGGGCCCCTGAAGCTCCGAGTTGCTTTGAATGCACCATGCGGAGCCTCGTAGTGGAGGTCGATCACATCTTTCTCTGGTCCAAGTTCCTCTAGGTGCTCGCGAATCCACTCCGCGTAGCGTGCTTTCGCGCTGGCCTGGTTGAGCCAGGCAACACTCTATAACTGGAACAGTAGATTTGGAGCTTCGACCTTCTCTTCCTTCATCGAGATCTTGTTGCGGGTTAACACCATGAAGACCTGCGCGTCACACAACTGAAATATGACGTGTATCTCACGACTACAGCGGTCGAGACTGGGGACGCGGCAAGGGCCACCGCAGACGAGTGCGCAAGGCAGGACCACGAATCGAATGCTGTAAGCAAGGCTGTTAGAAGCCGAGGACAGCCGCAAATTATCTGAATGCTCTGGTGCAATCTCGCCCAAGCCTATCCCTCGTCCTTCGTTTTCGTTTGTAAGCATCGACGTCGCACTGGACTCCGCGCACTCACTGCAGATTCCATCGACCTGAGTTCCCGTCGCTGGCATGTATGCATGTCTGTAGTGTGTGTTGCAAGTGACATCTGGGAATATGGGGCTCAGACTCCTCGTCGGTGGACGGTGCTGCCATGCCCCACCTCAGTGACGAGAGCTCGTTGCCGACGTCTTCTACAGGTATCGTCAGAAGCAGTTCGTGCACGGTGCCCGGCCATTCCGGTGCAACGAATTGCAGCATCAAGTGTCGCTGGCAGAGTTCTCCCGCCCGTGTGCGACGTCCTGAGCGGTCGCGGCGCTTGTCAAGGAGGGTTGGGCGTATGTTGTGTAAGCCCCGCACGAATCTTCCTGCCGTCCGAATAAGTCAGCAGCTCTATGGCGCTGTCCTTGTAGATGGGCAAGTGATCGTAGACGCGGTCCATCATGAGGAGCTGACAGACGGGAGGCGAGGGCAAGTACAAAGCTTGCAAACCGCAAAACCGTTTGCTGAACGGCCTTCATGCGGTAGACCTTGCCGGTCAGCGGCATGAGGATGTAGCTGCGCCGCAGGCCCCTACCCGTTACAGATTAGCGTCCGTACGGTGCTTCGGGAAGCTCATATATAGCTGAGGTCCGCACAGCCCGTGGACCTGGTCGAAGGAGCCGGCGGCTCTTCTCGCTGAGATAGGATGCACCTGCGCCGCTGGAGCTACTAGCTTCTATTGCGACTAATGCCAAGCCAGCTGCTGCAAAGGCCCCGGCGAATCATCGCGATCAGGACAAGAGCGAAGCAGAGGCAATGCGCTGAAACTTTAAAAGCTACAGCGACAGATGACGGCTAATGTGGCGTTTGTCCTTGCGTCCTACTACTACTGCTACTACCACTATCACTACTACTACTACTACTATTACTACTACTACTACTACTAGTAGTAGTAGTAGTAGTAGTAGTACTACTACTACTACTACTACTACTACGTTGAAAACGGCTGGGTTGAAAACGGCGGAGTTGAAAACGGTAGGGGGGCTTAATAAGGCCTTAATAAGGCTTTCATAAGGGCTTAATAAGGCTTTAATAAGACCCTAATAAGGCCTTAATAAAGGCTTAATAAGGCTTAATAAGGCTTAATAAGGCTTTAATAAGGGCCTAATAAGGCCTTAATAAAGCTTTCATAAGGGCTTAATAAGGCTTTAATATGGGCTTGACAAGGCCTTAATAAGGCTTGAAAATAAGGGCTTAATAAGGCTTTAATAAGGGCCTAATAAGGCTTTAATGAAGCTTTAATAAGGGCTTAATAAGGCTTTAATAAGGGCTTAATCAAGCCTTAAGGCTTTAATAAGGGCTTAATAAGGCTTTAATAAGGGCCGAATAAGGCCTTAATAAGGCTTGAAAATAAGGACTTAATAAAGCTTTAATACGGGCCTAATAAAGCCTTAATGAGGCTTTAATAAGGGCTTAATAAGGCTTTAATAAGGCTTTAATAAGGGCTTAATAGGGCTTTAATGAGGGCTTAATAAGGGCTTAATAAAGCTTTAATAAGACCCTAATAAGGCTTTAATAAGGCTTTAATAAGGCTTTAATACAGCTTTAATAAGGGCCTAATGAAGCCTTAATGAGGCTTTAATAAGGGCTTAATAAGGCCCTAATAAGGCTTTAATAAGGGCTTAATAAGGCTTTAGCAAGGGCTTAATATGGCGTTTACAAAGCTTTTTACGTTGAAGACGGTGTACGGTGCGGACTTGAAAACGGTCCAACGTCCACAGTCGAAAACGGCCGAGTTGAAAACGGCTGAGTTGAAAACGGCCGAGTTGAAAACGGCCGAGTTGAAAACGGCCGAGTTGAAAACGGCCGAGTTGAAAACGGCTGGGTTGAAAACGGCGGAGTTGAAAACGGTAGGGGGGCCTAATAAGGCCTTAATAAGGCTTTCATAAGGGCTTAATAAGGCTTTAATAAGACCCTAATAAAGCCTTAATGAGGCTTTAATAAGGGCTTAATAAAACTTGAATAAGGCTTTTTTAAGGGCTTAATAAGGCTTTAATAAGGGCTTAATAAGGGCTGGGCTTAATAAGGCTTTAATAAAGGCTTAATAAGGCTTAATGAGGCTTTAATAAGGCTTTAATAAAGCTTTGATCAGGGCTTAATATGGCTTTAATACGCCTTTCATAAGGGCTTAAAAAAGCTTTAATAAGGACCTAATAAAGCTTTAATGAAGGCTTTAATAAGACCCTAATAAGGCGTTAATGAGGCTTTAATAAGGGCTTAATAAAGCTTGAATAAGGCTTTATAAGGGCTTAATAAGGCTTTAATAAGGGCTTAATAAGGGCTTAATAAGGGCTTAATAAGGCTTAATGAGGCCTTAATAAGGCTTTAATAAAGCTTTGATAAGGGCTTAATATGGCTTTAATAAGCTTTCATAAGGGCTTAAAAAGGCTTTAATAAGGACCTAATAAAGCTTTAATGAAGCTTTTAATAAAGCCTTAATAAGGCTGTAATAAGGGCTTAATAACGGCTTAATAAAGGCTTAATACAGGATTAATAAGGCTTTAATAAGATTTCAATAAGGCCTTAATGAGGCTTTAATAAGGGCTTAATAAAGCCTTAATAAGGCTTTAATAAGGGCTTAATAAGGCTTCATCTAGGCTTCATTCGGGCTTAATAAAGCTTTCATAAGGGCCCAATAAAGCTTTAATGAGGCTTTAATAAGGGCTTAATAAGGCTTTAATACGGCTTTAATCAGGGCTTAATAAGGCCTTAATAAGGCTTTAATAAGGGCTTAACAAAGCCTTAATAAGACTGTAATAAGGGCTTTATAAGGCTTTAATAAGGCTTTAATAAAGCTTTAATAAGGGCCTAATAAAGCCTTTTTGAGGCTTCAATAAGGGCTTAAATAAGGCTCTAGCAAGGGCTTAATATGGCTTTTACAAAGCTTTTTACGTTGAAAACGGTGTACGGTGCGGACTTGAAAACGGTCCAACGTCCACAGTCGAAAACGGCCGAGTTGAAAACGGCCGAGTTGAAAACGGCCGATTTGAAAACGGCCGAGTTGAAAACAGCTGGGTTGAAAACGGCGGAATTGAAAACGGTAGGGGGGCCTAATACGGCCTTAATAAGGCTTTCATAAGGGCTTAATAAGGCTTTAATAAGACCCTAATAAGGCCTTAATGAAGCTTGAATAAGGGCTAATAAAGCCTTAATAAGGCTATAATAAGGCTTAATAAGGCTTTAATAAGGGCTTAAGAAAGCTTTAATAAGGACTTAATAAAGGCTTAATAAGGCTTTAATAAGGCTTTCATAAGGGCTTAATGAGGCTTTAATAAGGGCCTAATAAGGCGTTGATGAGGCTTTAATAAGGCTTGAAAAATGCTTCAATAAGGGCTTAATAAAGGCTTAATAAGGCTTTAATAAGGGCTTAATAAGGCTTTATTTAATAAGGGCCTAATAAGGGCTTAATAAGGTTTGAAAATCAAGGCTTAATAAGGCTTTAATAAGGGCCTAGCAAGGCCTTAATAAAGCTTTTGTAAAAAGACTGGGTCTA